CAGAGACAATTTAGAAATGTAACTTAATAGATAAACATTTATTGTTAATTAGATAACAGAAATGGAGTGTAAAATTAAATATACCACTTTATATTTAATCTTTAAATGGACATTTTGGTTAAAGAAAAGAAGCAACAACCGTGTCTTATTTTTCCCTAAACTACTCAGTTTTATCTTTCCTAGTTTAATTTTTAACTCCCTTATTTTTTTGTCTTCATAAATATATAATACCATGTTTATACTTATACCTTATACCTATTTGACATTATTTTTAACCATACTTTATTTATCTCAACACTATGGAAGCATTGGTTGTGAGGTGCAAAGTGAATATTAGCATCTCGGGACGGGTGCTGCGAGACTGCGCTGACCTGCTGGTGGGGATCTTCATCAAGATCTACAACCAGTCCCTGTCCCAGGCCATCGTCCCATCCTGCCTGAAAACATCCACAATCATCCCGGTAACGAAAAAGAACACCATCGGCTGCCTAAATGACTACCGTCCAGTGGCACTCACCTCCACCCCCGCTAAAGTTTTTGAGAAGGTGGTCCGTCCCCACATCGTCTCATCCCTCCTTCCCGGTCTGGACCCCCACCAGTTCGCCTACAGGGCCAACAGGTCCACGGAGGACGCCATCGCCACAGCTCTCCACTCTACCCTGTCTCACCTGAGAGAAGTGGGAGCTACGCACGGATGCTCTTCGTGGACTTCAGCTCGACATTTAATACCATCCTCCCCGACACACTGGTGACCAAGCTATCAGTCCTGGGAGTATCCCATTCCTCGTGCCTATGGATTAAGGACTTCCTGACTGATCGCCCCCAGAGGGTGAGGATAGGCCCCCACACCTCCACGTCCCTCAGTCTCAGCACCGGGTCACCGCAGGGCTGCGTGCTGAGCCCCTTACTATACGCCCTCTACACCCACTATCTCGTCCCCGCCCACACCAGCAACTCCATCATAAAGTTTGCTGATGATACCACCGTGGTGGGCTGCATCTCCGTGGGTGACAAGACCGCGTACCAGGACGAGGTGGAGCAACTGTTAGCGTTGTGCAAAGTAAACAACCTGCAGCTGAACAAGCTGAAAACCCAGGAAATGATCATTGACTTTAGGAGGAAGAAGACCGACATGCAGCCCCTGTACATTGATGGAGGCTGTGTGGAGAGACTCTCAGTGATCAAATTCCTGGGCGTTCACCTGGCGGATGACCTGTCCTGGAGGACCAACACCACGGCGACCGTCAATAAGGCACAGCAGAGACTCTACTTCCTGAGAATACTCAGGAATTACCACCTCAGACAGGACCTGCTTGTGTCCTTTTACTGCTGCGCCGTGGAGAGCATCCTCACCTACTGCATCTGCGTGTGGTTCATCAGCTGCACAGCCGCAGAGAGGGGTGCGCTCCAAAGGGTCGTCAACTCGGCCCAGAAGATCATCGGGTGCCCTCTCCCCTCCCTGGAGGTACTGTACAGCTCTCGTTGCCTTAAGAAGGCAGTCAAAATCCTCAAGGACCCATATCACCCGGGTAACGTGCACTTTGTACGGCTTCGCTCAGGCAGGCGCTTCTGTACCATGTCTTCCCGGACAAACAGACTCAAGTTTAGTTTCTTTCCCAGGGCCATATGTGCACTTAACACTGCTAATATTGAAGTTATCATGTCTTCCGTGCAATATGAGGGGAATCGTGCAATTAATTTATTATTTATGTATGTACATATTCCCTATCATGTCTATTTAAGTCCCATTTCTTGTTTTTATATTGTCTTGTTGTTGCACGTTGGCACCTTGAGTTCATATTGTAATTTTGTTGTACTTGTACAATGACAAATTAAAGATCTTATCTTATCTTATCTATTGCAGCCACATGCCCTTACACATTGAATGTGGCATTCATGAGTTGTCACATCTAATCTTTTGAAAATAGCTGAAGCATTCGATGATTACTTTGGCCATTAGTTGTTGACTGTCAGTCATTGTGAGGAGCACTGAGTGTCCTTTGCAGATATGTGACAGGTCTAAGTAGTTCCACTTTTGCAAAGAGTTCCCTATAGAAGCAGACTTTTGTTATATGCTCTTCATTTAAGCACCCAGGCATAAAAATACTCAAACTTGACCTTGTCTAACAATCAACGTCGTAATCAATAGACTGCTGTTTGCGCGTGGGCTGCATGGATCACCTTGCCTTCTGAGCAATAGCTGCTGTAGGTCTTTTTGTCATCCACATCTAATTAAAAAAACTGTGCATCATTTCCTCGGCTGTGAAAAGAAATCTGATCTAGGCAAAACAAAAAAGTTCATTGGGGACGTCAGTGAATCCTGACAGCCACATCACAGTCTCGCCTGTCGGAGGCATTTATCTGACATAGCATCTTGCACTGTAACTCATGGGGGGGATGTAAAGCAGAAGGAGAGAGATACCTGTACGGCTGTCTTATTTCACAACAATCTTGGATGTATTTTATAAGCTGATTTCCATGACTGATTAGCTTACCTGAAATAATAACACACATGTAGTCTACATTGTGGAACAGAATGAAAACAGATCCATTTATGTACACTGATGCTGTAACCAACATAAAACAGAAAAGCATTCAGAATATGAGAGAATTCATGTAACAGTAAACAACTTAGTTCATTTCGATTCTTAGAGAAATGACCATTTTAAAACATTATGCAGAAAAAATGGAACAACAGATGTCAGATTTGTACTCGGTTAACAGTTTTGGGCTTTTACACCTGAGATTTTGTGTTTTATCAAGTGTAGTGCAGAAATGAATGATGTAATGAATAATTATCTTCTTTCATCATATATGTTCAAAAGAAGGTAGTTGCACAAGTGCTGATTTATGTTTCTCCGAACTAAACTACTTCAGTTAGACAAATGGTTTTGAGTCATACAGTGCTCCAATGGAGGCTTTTTGAGTTCACATGAATGCATTTCATTTGACAAATAAGGAATCCTTCAAAACAAAGTTAATATAGGGAGTTTGTGTAAATCTATTTTAGATCAATATTTCACACAGTGTTACAGAAATTACATTTGGTATAAAATTAGGGCAAATTAACAGACGATATTAGCATAGTATCACAGTTAATCCTGTTCAGATCTGGTACACATATTTGTCTGATCCTGTTTAGATTTGCTGGGAAATATACATAAGCTATGGATTGCCTACTATCATTAGCAAGGATACTGTGGCATATTAACGCCTTATCCTGTTTACTTCTGCCTTTTGTGGTCTACACAGACTCAGTTGCCAAGCAAATCATATGTTTATTCATAAATAGCTATTTTATAATCTGAATATGGAGATGTATGTAACAGCTTGTATCTGCATTATGCATGGTAAATCCTCAATGGAAAGAGATTCAGACTCCAATGTTTGTTTAGGACATTATTCAGAGGAATCGGTTTACTGTTCAATTATAGAGACTTACATTTTGCACCCAACTAGTGTCTGGTTGTCAAATGTGTCTCTTCGGGTGGACTATTGTTTTTCTTGGGGATCAGGTTTTTTTTTTAAATAGCTGTACATTTTTCAATGTTCTTAATACTCCAAGGAAAGCTACATCCCGCCAAAACATGTTTTGTTACGAAGAAACAAATGTTGTACGTACAGCTCAATAGTTATGAAGACGTTTTGTGTACCAGATTTTCCCAGTAGAGAACATAGTTAGCCCATTTCACTTGCTGCTTAGTTCATCCACACGGCACATGCACGAAGCAACACATCATGTCACAACTCATCTCTCCAAAAATAGCTCTAATGAAACTCGAGGGGATTTTGTGCAATGAGACCTAAGATGAGATATACAGTAGTTGTCGGTCTACAGTAGCTCATAACTTCTTCAAAACTGCAGCTCAAGCTGAACATCCTCACCTTCTGTCACCTGGCTTAGATCCCAGCCTGCTATGGCAAGGGGGAACAACACAGAACTCATCAAAACACGTCAAGGACTCTGCACACCGTTTCATCAGTGTGTGCAACGCTGGTGAAGAGGCCTTTTAGACTCTGGTGATTATAAGCCTTCATTTTCTATTCTGGCTCATCAAGCAGCTGTCTAAACAGAGCTGAGTTTGCTCAGGTACCCGTCCCTGGCTGGGGGAAATGCTGTGTGTTAGAGTTATTACCATACACTGTTTTGCATCATTGAACATTTCTGGGTACTCGCCTAGATCCTGACCCACTTTGATGTCTTTGTGTTTCAAATATTTAGATCAAGTGACATCGAGGAAGATAAACGCTCTGCTGTCTGACAGGCTGCATGGAGCAAATGAATAAAACAAATGCAAGATTCAGGGGTGAATGTTTTAATGAAATAAGCCTGTTTACACATTTGGGCATATTCATGAAATCCCTTTGCATCCATAAATATAAGCAGTGAGTTATCTTCTGCTTCAAATCTGACTCGTTAGCCCTGCAAGCTGTGAGTCGAACATGTTGCGAGACGCTGAGATGTGCCCGGTTTACGATGCCATCGATTTATTGTTTTGTGAATCCAACATGAACAAACAAATTCAGGGAGAAGACATTCATGAACATTCATTTGAACAGTGGGATGCGCGTATAGCTTCTATCAATCTCAAGTGTTAATCACCGCGCACCATATGTAGAGCTGCAGACAGCGCCATTCATTACCACTACCACTTGGAAAATGACACAAGGTGTGAGCTGTGTCTGGCTGCCGGAGGACATTCTGACGGGCTGCGCTGGTAAAGTAGCTGTGACAGTTGGCCAGGACGCCAGCAGTGGGCTTGACTTGCTTAATGAACTAACATGTTCATGTTGGCAGCACTAAGTGAACCATTTATTATTGAGCTGGGAACAGGTTTGCACAGGTCCGTAATGACAGCAGCCACCAGATGACAACGTTAGATTTACCTCTAAATGTCCAATATTAGAATTGCATTTACTTTAATCCATATCACCGGCCACGATACAACATATTGTTGCGATAAAACTGAACAGAGGGGACATAAAAAACACTTGGATTCTTTAGTTACATTTTTTTTATTGTCCACCAGGAAAAATGTCTCACTGTTGTCTTCTTGTACACTCAACAACCTGCAACACAAAAGAAAGACAAAGAGAAACACATTCTATACTGAAAAGCAAAAAAATAAATAAACAAATACATTCACATATTTAAAAGATTTGAAGGGCCAGGGTAGACATTTGTTTTGGCAAATAGGCTTAGTAGCTTTCTATTTAAAATAAATACATTCATTCTCTATGACTGTATGCTAAATATGTCACTAATTTGGGGAGACTGTTAGCTTAGTTTAGCTAAAGATTATCAAACTGAAAAAAGGTAAAGCTCTGTCTAAAGGGACACAATTCTTCCTACTAACGCCTCCTTATCTGATTTGTTTAGTCCCTACATAAAATAAGTTTAAAACCGAAAATGTATGTTTTCATGGATGCTTTGAGATTGACTACTTCTTACTGTTTCGATATGCTGAGCCAAGCTAACCGTCTCCTGGCAGTAGCTTCATATTTAAAGGTCAGTTATAAGAGTGGTATCAATCATATCATCTAACTCAAAGCAAGAAAGCAAATAAGTCGAAAATGTCAAACTACTCCTTTCCGTCTATAATAATCAGAACTATTTACTTGACGGGCATGTTGTCATCTGTCTGAATTGATTCTGAGGATGTTTGACAAATGACATTGTGTCCTTGTTATGCAGGAGTTGGTAGCCTATATAGCGTGAGCCTCTGAGCCCGATTGTGACATTTGGGCTGGGTGTGCATCAAAGGCAATACAGTAATTCCCCTCCATCCACTGGCTGTCTCTGTACGGAGCCCCCAGTTATAATCTGTCAACATGCGTCTGACATCCAGGGTGATGTTCAGTATGGAGATGCAGCTTTCAGCCAGAGACAATCAGCTCGTCCTTGAGATGGAAATGGAAGGAGATAGACCTCCTCACTCTCACCTCAACCTTTTCAAATGAGCATTTATTGTCTTGTTAGGAACAAATCGGTTCCATTATTCGAGAAAATAAGGCTCTAAGCATGAGAGCTGGCAGCCGTCATATATTTGTTCACACAACCATTGACTGAATTAGCGAGTACAGCGTGTTGCGCTCTCTCTCTCTCTCCCATCACCACAAGCAGATGGTGACTGGAATGTTTTGGAATAGACACATCGAGTTGTGCCACATTTTATTTTCAGTCATACATATTCATACATATATTTTCACTTTTCTTGCCTCATTACCAAGGCAGTGTTAAAAATGATTTTGTATCGGAAAATAATAGGTCCACAATTAAGGAAAAATGTAGACCTTTTCTTGTTGATCTTACTCATCAATCCCCCTTTTGATCCCTGTGGTATTTATTTTCTCATCTAACTCTTGGCAAAAAGCGAAGAGTATTTCAAATAGTTCTGTATAAAGTTCAGTCTTTCGGCCAATTTTACCAACACCAGTCCAAGAAAAAGACTTCAATGTAAAGGAAAGTACATTTAATTTAACAGTCCAACTTAATATAGAATGTGAAACCAATACAATACAAGGACAGATATTATTTGCATGCATTGTAATTCTAACAACGGCTTCCTTACCTGTGAGTCATTTGTCTGTCCTTGTTTCATGTTCCATCTTCATTCCTCTCATCTCTGTGCAACACAAACAAGTTAATACAAACGGTAGTACCTTTATTCTTTACACATAAACAGATGAATAAGCAGAGTATTCACTAAATGGACTAATGTGTATTCTATTAGGAGTGTCGTGGCTGCATAAACATTGTTGCCAAAGGTGATAAACTTGGCAGATCAACAAAAACAAACAGCTGCCAGTTTGTATTGCTCCGAGGCTGCAGCCCAGGACTGCTTAATGTGTAACAATCACCGTGGATCCATGTGTGGAGTAATGGCTAAGAGATGGGAAAACAGCTGCAAAGTCTTTAACCACCTTAGACTCCATCCTTTGAGCAAAGCAAAAAGTAGTGGAGCTTTTTTTTTTTCATCCGTAATTTGTATTTGAAAGTTTTATCAGTGGCATTGACTAAGAAACGCATCAACCTCCGTGGAAGGCTTTGGGATTTTGACTGTTTAGCTGGCAACAGGCTAGTTATTCAAATGGTTGGAGAGCACTTTTGGCAAAGGCTGCATGAACATCAGTGGCTTTCACTGAGTTTCCAGCACTCATCACTTCCAAATCTTAGGTGCAAATAAACATGAGATTTAGTTTTAAGAAAGAATGGGAACACGCCGAAATAGGGGATTATATTTAATGCTTTTCCCAATTCCTCAATTATCGAATCATCATTTTATTCTTGGCAATTATTCTTGAATGACAAAGATCCCTTCATTTGACTGACTGTCCTTGTCTTGTTCCTCGAATGTTTAATTTGAGCTTTGTATTTTGATGAAAAGCCTCTTGTCAGTTTACAGTAATTTATATTTTCTAATATCTTTTTGCATTAGATTGATACAGCAATACTTCATGTAACCTCAACAACTAATCTTTTCGAAACTCGGTACTAAGCAAGAGTCGGCAGCTTTAAAGTTGAAATACGCACCGAGCTCCTCTCCTGACTGATGAAGGGCCCGAACGTGTCTGATGGCTGAGTCCAATCTTCAGTCCTCTAGGAGCAGATTCCCGAGCCTACTGCTCTGCAAAGAAGTAGAAAGTAAGAAAATGCTTTTTTGCAGAAAGGGAGCATGATTTTAAATGGTGCTACAGTACTGCAGAGTTGGACTGTCGATTATTTTTACAATACAGCTGAACAGCACTTCAGCACAGATTGCAGCATCACTGTGGAACAAACTCAACCAGCGTAAATCTTTTTGACCAACCTCTTCAGGCAACTAGTTGTTTATCATATAATAATATGTGAAACACATAGGTTGATAAGCATGCTTTCCCCATTTAAAAAACGTTTGGATGAAATATTTTATTAAATCTACAGTTTTGATTCTAACAAAAATATATTGCTCCTCTGAAACCTATAATACACATTTTAAATTATTTGCAAAAATTAATATAATTTGTTTTCCAAGTTTACAATAACTTCAAACAACAGTTTGTCTTTTGACACATACAACTTTAAGATCTTTTTGAGACTTATTATTGACTGACTCAATGGATTCAGAGAAAAATAGGAGCTTTTCCACTTCTTCACAAGTATTTATTAACTGATATTATTGTTGGTGTTGCTGTCCGATCACTTTGCGTGCCACACTGCATTTGATTCCAAACATACAACGCAAAGAGACGGGGATAACATATTTTCAGGTTTTGATTTGCATATAAACAAGATGGATCTACTTGCTAATATATTCTTAGCAGCATGGCTATTGCTAGCAGCCTGTTTACCTTCCAAAGTAATAATGGAGAATGGAGAAGTCTATTTTTTTTACAAATCACGCACTCATACAACTATTGGTGCTGTTTCTTGCTCTTCTGGGTCAGCTTTGTTCATAAATCTTGTTATGTATCAACAGCACAAGTGTGCAATTAAGATGGTAAGCCTTTGAATACATTTTCAAAAGAATTGCACTTTCGGAAGAAATGTCAGAAGAAGAGCATGAATTATGAATAGGCCGGCAGCTATCTGTCCATGGGGATTAAATGAAGCTGCATTTGCAAAGCTTTAAAACACAGGTCGGGGTGAGAAATATAAACAAATAGGATTTAATGCAGAAACAGCATAAAAGAAAAGATACAATTTAGTAAATGTAGGTATGGTGATAATATTACTTTTGTTTACTTAAGTTCTGCAGCTTTGTTTTTTTACATTTTGTTTGTACAATGCATCTACCCAACCTACACTTCTCCTCAAAGCAGCCTTACTGTGATACTCTGCTCCTCAACTGGCAGATGATAAATTACCTCCAATCACACTGCACTTTAGTAAAGTTTTCTTTCCTTTATTCCTTTTGTTTCCATTCTTTTAATTGCATGTCTTCGCTTTATTGTGTTTTAAATGAGATGTCAGATTTATAAAAACTGCGTATTAAACCATTTTTAGTTGATGTTAATGAGCTTTAATGGTGTATTCGTAAGAGGAAAATTATATTTCAATCCTTTGATAGTGTGCACAGTAGGGCAAGAAAATGTTATGCTTAAAGGTCACCTATTATGCAGAATCCACTTTTGTATGTATTTTATACAGAAACATGTGTCCCCTCTGTGTAAAGAGATTCTGAACATTTCAGGGAAAAAGATTCTCTCACTTTTTGTCCTGATCCATTTATATAAAAACCTGTCAGAAAATGAGCTGATCAGATTTTGGCCACTTTATGAGGTCATAAAGATTTTTTGGCTTGTGTAACCATTAGCCAATAACCAGCCAAGGTAATACCCCCACCCTCCCCCCCCCACCACCTTATCACCTGAAGCCAATGTGTTCTTTTTAACCAAATATCTCACAAAGGGGCGTGGGGAGTGGCACCTTATTTTCTGTTTGGTATTTGGAGCCAAACACTTCAGAGACATGTTTTGTATATATCTGAGACCTATACTATATTGATGAAAAACAGTATAATAGGGGACCTTTAATCCCAAAAAATTGACAAGTTCAATTGTTAGATAACATTTAGTATCGAAATCAACAGTTATCCATTAACCAATAGGAAGTTGGGTGTGTTTTAAACTGTAAGCCATGAGTCTGAGTAACAATTTAACGTCTTTGCAAATTGGTGGGTAAATTAAATCCATCATGAAGGCAGGATGAGCTAAACCTTCAGATGTTCTGTTCATTATGTCATTTAAATGTTAGACCTAAATGATTACAACAACCCTCGCTTCAAGTGTTGTAATTTGCATTGAACGTGACAAACTAACAACATAATAATAATATTTCCACTCACCTGTGGTCTCTGCTTTGACCAAATCACACAGTAGTGTGTTTCTTTAACTAAAGAGAAAAACAAAGAAATATAAGGAATGTGTTATTTTATTATTATAATGTATCATCAATAATAAATAGGTGACAGACTTCATGCAATATGTAATAAAACAAGCACAGAACATTTATACCATTTCATCACTGTGAAAAAAGTAAACCAATTCAGAATATCTTGAAACTTTATGAGTTTTGAGCAAATGTTTGGAATTTATTCACTGATGTTTAGTTTCCGGACATTATTTTTAGTATCTTTTATTATTTTTTTCTTTTAAATCAGTTTAGCTGAAATTCCTTATGGACTATTTAGTCAGCGATAGGAAGGGATTTTATTTGGCGTTAAAAAGGGCAGGTTTACTTTTTTTTAAGTGGAAGTTAGCATTTTGCGATTATATTAGTATTATTATTAGGGTTACCTGCTTAGTGTTTAGTCTTCTTTTCAGTCCCGTGATCTACACTCTTAATGTGGGTCGGGCTTCAGGTGTACTAATCAGAGGAGAATTCAAATTTCTAAAATGGACGTCAGCTGTGATGCACGGAAACTGTATATAAACAGTGCATATACAGCTTTTCTCAGGTTAAATGACAAAATGCAGAAAGAGGTTAGCAGAGACAAGGATGAGACGCAGATAAAAGACACACTGAGTGCACACTATCAGAGTGAACATCAAGATCTACTTCCTGAATGGCCCATTATGCTCTTCACGAGGCAGCTTCAAACGCCGAGGGTATTATTATGACAGTAATATATGGGGACTTCTTACCTCTTTTAACTCCATATCATTCTCAGAGTCAATCTGTGTCTCTTTAATGATGTAAAACCTCACAGAATGGATTAAAGAAAGAAGTTTATTAGTTTCCAAATGATCAAAGATTCAAGGACGATTGAGCAGGAATATAAATTATTTAACAAATGAGTGGTTTGGGACAGGTTGGTGGGCTTTCTTTATGAAACGAGTTAGCCGCTACCTGGAAGCACATGTTATGGTTAACAAAAAATACGGATTAATAGCTCCTATTTAGAGAGTCTTACACACTGCGTTGAGGTTTATGTTGTTTTATTAAATGCTTTATGTACAAATACAGGTTACACACAGAACAAAGCATGCATTAGAAATGACACACTGTACATTGCTGTTTGCTTTCAAGCCAAAACATTTTTTTAATTTGTCATGATTACGGTTTCACACATATAATTTAATTCACAACATAACTAAGGCTAACTTTAGTCGTACCAACTCAGTTTTAACATTAAGTCATCTGAGGTTCATATCGCTATCAGTTAGGCTTAGGGGGAAACTTGAGGTGCGATTTAGATTTCGGAAAAACATTTCATATGAGTCCAGGCTATTTAGTCACTTAGCATTCAGGTCTTCAATTCTGGACAATGTTTGGTTTCCATCTGTTGCCCTTAATGGAGTTTGTCAGGTCATTTGTGCTCAGAGCGATTTGTGTTTCTCTGTCTGTCACCATAAAAAAGATGAAAAGTTAAAGTCACAGCTGGAATCAAAACAGGAAGTGAAGCGTCTCCAGACAAACACTTTATCTGCAGACGCTTCAAAAGACAAATTAACCACAGAAGAGTTTATGTGCGCAAAATGCGTACATGAAGCGCTACGTCATGAACGCAAGAAATCATACCCTCGTGGGGGCGCGCTCATGTGATTGGCTTAGAATGAAGGAGACATCTGATTGGCTCTAGATAGAAAAAATTACAAGTACGAATCGGGTGACCATCAGGGGAGTCTCAAAAAGCCCACACACGAATGCACAGCGATCCATGCACAGAAAGTTGTTTGTGTTTGCAGGTGCAGCGGATTTAAACGGAAAACAAATATGTGAGGATCAAAAATACATATGTAAAACTTTTTTCTGTATTTGGATTTTATTTACATGTATATGAAACGGAACACATTTGTGTGGATCCGGAAATACAAGTGTGAATCCTTTTGCGGATCATGAAGTACAAGTGTGAATCCTTCTGTGTGCATGCGTATTATGAGTCTGTTCTGAGCCCATACAGAACTGCTTTAGATTTATTTTCAAACAAGCCAAACAATTTACACATTTTGTGGAAGAAACATGTCTGGTAGAAGCGTGTCAGAACCGAACACATTTTAGCTGTAGGGTATGAGTCTGGGAAAGATCCACTTAAACCAGACTGAGCCTATAGCCAGACCAATCAGTGAACTGTGGAGGAAGGGGATGGAGGTTGAAAAAAGCTCATTTTAAATTTGAGGTAACGTTGGATTTGCAGCTGTTCCTGGTTTTCAGACCCATCCTGTCTTTACGCTCATATTGAGTGATCCACAATTAGCTAAGCCGATGTGGACGCAATTTTTCTTTACCATGGACACAATACTTTTGCACCTTGTAGTGTGTCATAGTGGAGGACAATAGACATGGGATGTTTCACACAATTTTCAATATTCTAATCTACCTTTTAATGCTGTGTTGAATGACGTTGACGCATAGGAACAAAGAAATTATGAATATGACTAATATGAGCACCTTAAAAGGCACACATATTGTTTTCCTGGCATTACAGGCGTTGGCTAGTTAACCCTATTATTAACTGCACTAAAGGCAATGAATGCAAACTATTTCTCAAACATTACTCTGCAGTTTAATGTCAGAAATCTGAAATATTAGTACTTTTTTTGGGAGGGGGCAGGGGCAGAGGGGGGGATGAATTTAAAAGCTAAAAACAACCTTCCCCTACATGAATGAATGTCTCTTTTTTTTTACCTCTGCATTTATAAAAACTGAATACTTCAATAATGTGTTACATATCAGGATATTGTGCTTAATGGGTTTTTTTTTGTATCCAAAGGAGACGAACAAAAAAAGGGAAACATTTCAACATTTTATGAGGAATTTAAAAAATATATAAAAAGTTTGAAATAGGAGGTCACATATCTGGAGCACCTTCAGTATCTACCATAGGGATGTTTTCTGTAGCCCCCTCTTGTCAGCCGTAAAACAGGGGCTTTGTGACTTGGACGGGAAGTCCCCCAGTCCTCCTCTGCAAAAAGAGTTAACACACATTGAAGGCAGCTGCTTCGTTCACTGTGCTGCCATAACTTCTTTAAGCTCGGGTGTTTCATACCTTCCTTTCACAACCCGTTTAACTAAAGCCAAGAACATTCAAACCAGAAAATGTTATCCCAGCGTCTCCCCACAGAAAATACATTTCACAAGCACTTGCCCTCTGTTGGCCCACTCCTGAGATCTGACTGTCAGCAGCCCCTTCCTTGAAGCCAAATTACATAAAGATGGCACCTCTGCTGCATGGCACATTGCACTGCTTCCTAATAAGAAAGTGTTTATGGAGCAGAAAATCAAATCATTGCCCCCTTGGTTTTGGGTTTGGTACGACCTCAACACCCCAATGCACAATTCATCGTGCTAAAAATGAATGAGCCTGCAGACCCTCTGTGACGACCAGCTTACTGCACCGCGCCGCTGTCATGGGACAACCAACGTTTGGTGATTTGAAAGGTTTTGATTCAATTAAAGGTGTACATGTTTTATTAATGGTTTGAGGAATGGAAATATGCTTGTGCTTATCTGACAGCAGGGATGTGTGCACAGCAGTGGTAAATAAGCCAATAGTGACAGCTTTTCTGGAATAAGCCAATGAGGGCACATATCCAAAAGGCAAACACACTCCCCCTTTTACAACGGGCATCGGTTCAGAAATATCAGTACAGCAGCAGACAGCATTGTGTGGCCAATACTCTTTTCTTGTGAGGAATTTAAATGAGGTCCAAGGATGTTTCTCAAAAAGTCTGTTTTTAAAATCATACACCGTCTTGTCTACAAATTCAAGAAATTCAATTCAACAAAACGGGGAAATTGCTTTTGTGAAACATTACTGGCTTAAATTCAGGTGCAATGATGACACTGGAAAACACGCCATGTGTTATCGCAGATATTGCTGTATGTGCTAAACTGACTATGGGGTGATAGGATGACGTGATGTGATTTTATCACGGATTGCAATTCAAAACACAATAAGTTATACAATGTGAATTCCCATTAATGCAATAATTATAAATATCCTCACTTTAGTGACTTGAAAGACTTTCTCAATATCGTTAAGAAGGAATAAAACATTTCTGAAATACAGAAATTGTCTTGCAAGAAATCCCAGACTTTTATTAATGCAGCTGAACCTTTGGAATTATCATAACCTTATTTAAGATTGTTTGTTTGTGCCCTATCTTAATTTTCAAATAACCTACCAATTAATAATTATTTCCAACTTCATTTATGCTTTCATAGTGTTATATTACATAACGGCAAACTATTGACAGTGGGAGCAAATCGAGAGAGAAGAGGTGACACATGAAGGGTGGGACTCATATTTGTATAGATGTTCAGCTTACAGAAATAAACAGTACTTACCATAGTTGTTATAGGTCTCATCACTGTTGCCATGTCCATATTCATAATATTCTGAAATACTAAAAGAGGACACATTGAAAATAGTTAATATCAAGAACAACAAGCATTTGTCAAGAATCCCGTAAAATATGAAAAGATGCTGACATATTTTCTTTAGGTAAAAATAATTTTAAATATACATGAGGTTGGCAATGTGTTTTATCTTATCATATACTTTCTTAACATGTCACACAAAGCCATGTTTTTGGAAAGCTCTGTAATTTCCAGTAAGCGCTGGCTCTGAAGTTTTCATCAACTTTACTAAGTATTTCTTCAGACAAACACAGCTGTAGTGAGAATTGACGGCAGCTTGACGGTGTACGTTTGATTAAAAACACCTACAGTGCCATGTTGCTCGCTAATATCTTTTTAATTATTTTTGGATTCCAGTGAAGAAGTCTAAGATATTTAGGGTTTTGGATTCACAGACAAAAGGCCAATTTGTTTTGGGATTTATTAACAGTACCTTTTATCATATTTCATTATGAGTGACAGTGGACATATGGTGACTGTGCGTGTGCATGCGTGCGTATAAACATCACCTCTTTGCCTGATTGCTGTAGTTTTCCTCGTAGGCTTCGTAACTGTCGTCGTCGTATTCTCCACCGTACCCATCGTCGTAGCCCTGTGAGGAAACACAGTTATTAAAGTCGACTTGCCTCCAAATCTCTATCCAGTCTAACTGGGTAGAGGTGAATGTAAAACGATCAATACTTAGCTCCCTAGGCAAAGTCCATTACTTTGTGTCCATAATAAGAGAGGGAACAGGAAAAATTCCTGTCCAACAGAGATTATTGATTCAGGCTTGCAGGGGAGCATGTCTCACTACTGGAGCATGATGGACAGCTTCTGACTCTCACACTGCAATATGGATCTGAACTATTGATAAGTAGCTACTTGAGAATCGCGCACAGAAAGCCAGCAAGTAGAGTCATGTTAAATAACAATTCAAATGGCTTAACAGCATGCACAGCAACAACAAAGAATTGCTGTATAAAGAATGTCAGTATTTGTACCTCCCATGCTGCTGTGAAGCAAGAACTAACCGCTAACTAACCGCACAGCTCTTCTGTTCTCTTCCAAAACAGATTCTCTGTCGTGTTTGATGAGAAATCTGACAGTTTCATTAATGCTATATGTAATTGCGTGATAACAAAAAGCTGTCAACATGTCGTTTTAGTTTTTGTTGACAAATGGTCAAAGAAGAGAGTACATTCTATTGCAGGATTGAGCCTCCAGTCCTAATATTCAGTTAAGAACCATCCACATCAGAAGACTCCGAGGCTTTGCATGTAACCTGGTTTTGAAACAATTCAAGTAACCATTATAACTTGGTTAGATGAACAAGAAACCACAGAGGGGCGCGCTAAGAAGCTTTTAACATCAAACTATTTGAATAGGAAATTGATTACTATAGCATCTCATCACTTGAATGATCAGTCGGTTTTCTTCTTTTTTGTATCACTGTTACACTTAAAGGTGTCATTTCCACAGGAGGTAGAGAAGACATGTCCCCCTCACCTTTACAAATCCAATTGCTCATCAAAGTTGCTTTCAAATCAAGACTGTGCACTCGCAGCAGTTACGTTTTAGGAGCAGATATTACTACTTTAGGGCTCATGTTTTTTGGATAGAAAAAAATATGAATGTTATGTATTTAAAGCTAGTTCTCCTAGGACACTATTTACTGTACACTCATGCCTCTCAAATAAGGAAGCTAGTATTGGTCAGTTGAATGATAAAGCAGTCATTTATGTACCATTTTTATTCCAATCTAATTTCAATACTGCTACATTTTTCTGTACACAATATAAATAATTTCATTATTTCTTAGATTGAGATGCATGTACATTTATATAAATGAAGGAAACACATCTGTCTTTAGATCGGTCACCCACTTCTGAAACCAAACAGTGTGTGGACTGATCTATCTGAAGAGTGTACTCCACACAATATTCAGTTTAATGGTTTATTCATGACAGAGGGGATAATGAATCCCGGCGGACAAAAGGTTTACGTAAACAGCTTAACCTGAATAACACCTCCACTGGAATAAGGCCAAAGTGTGTGAAGAACAGTAAACGTAGCCATTGTCTGCTCTTGTAATTGTGGGATCTCGCTCATCGAAGATATTTAGTAGAGTTTAAAGTGCTTATGTTTCTTTTTTCATCATGATCTAATCTCTTCTAATCCTTCAAAGCTTTGCTATTTAAAATTGAGCTCCATGTAGATGCATGTGTGCAGCTCATCTTAGAGATCGAATACATTTTAAATCAGCAGGATGGGATGTGTTGAGAGGCTTCAATAACCTGACGGGGTTTTAACAGTCCATTGTTCCTGTATGCCTGTAACAATAGAGTAATATCATCTTTCTTTAGGTGTCGCTGCTTTTGGTAATGCTTTATGACACCAAAGCATATTGGTGTGGAGGACATCAAGTGCAGCAACACAAATAAATTACATTTTCCTGTTCACTCTCTCCCTCTAATGACGGGTATAGCTGACTCAAAAAGCTCTGGTTCCTGTGTGGCTTCATTTTTGGAAACATGAATTTGACTAAATTAAAGTCAGGGATTAAGTTGTTCAGGGGATCCAATACTTCTCCCTTTCTTGCACAAGTCTTTTCCCACAAAGGCCGAGTCAGAGACCTGCGTATCTCAGTAATTGACCGGTTTTGTTAGCAATCCCACGTGACAAATCGCTCCACGCTGGACTATAAATGTAAAGAGATCAGTGGACTAATTTCAGTCAAATGTGTTATTATATAAACCTTCAGTCTTGATAGAGTTATGCAGGAATAAAGTAATGTAGCCTAAGACTTGAGTTCTTTATAGTAATATAGTATCATTTAAAGTGTGATTCTATTAGTAGCCTTTTATACAAATTATGAAAAATAACTCAACAAAATTACATTGATGCTGAATTCATTTGAACCCCTCTTGTGTCAGCATAATGTTTGTTGTAGCTGTTTGTTAACTGGAAGTGTGTGTGTGTGTGTGTGTGTGTGTGTGTGTGTGTGTGTGTGTGTGTGTGTGTGTGTACCAGTTATCTCGGTGTCAAGCTGCTGTTTCCAAAGATGGCAGCTGTCCAGTTCATGCTTTTACATCTAGAGAATGTGAGGCTACTTAAAAAAAAAAACATAGTTTCCAACCTTACACTGTATTCTAAAGAAGCTTTGGGCCATACTGTTAGGTATTTCTTCAAAACCTTAAAGCTTTTGGATCCTGTAAGTGAAGGTTAATTGACTGTGGGCCCACATGGAGGAGAGCATTATGTCTTTGTACATCTATAGTCTTACTTTATCATCTTTCTGAAACAAATAAACTGACTGAATAAACTGTGTTTATCTCTTCAACATAAGCAACTAGTGTTAGCATGTCTGTCTAAACTGCTTATACTAGCTTTCTTAGACAGTAGCACAATGAGATCAAAAGATCTACCTACAGGGCCGCCCCTGCCCAATCTGTGTCTCGAGCGCGCGCGGGGGTGCTAGTGGACTAAACGGCGGATAAACTGTGTACACTAATTGCGCCGCATAAGCGCATAATAGTGCACTGCATTTGCGCTTCAGATGAGGAGGTGAGGCCCCCTCATAACTGCATGAACCCGTATGGCACAATACAACTCAGACTGGCTTACCTGTACGTCAATTAAGTGGCAAATGCCATAGTAAGGATGGATGATAGGCTTTATTTTTCCTTATTTTTTTTTCAATGGCATGCGATCTACCCACACTACCTTTGCGGTCGATCGCGATCGACGTATTGGGCACCCCTGCCCTAGTACATAAGTAATGTGAGACAGATCATTTAATTGTTGTTTCCAACAGGATGGGTCTCTGCGTACACAACGTTCAATCAATCAATCAATGTTTATTTATATAGCCCAATATCACAAATGTTACATTTGTCTCAGTGGTCTTCACAGTTTGTACAGAATATCAGAATGACAATACGACACCGTCTGTCCTTAGACCCTCACATCGTACAAGGAAAAACTTCCGGAGAAAACCCACAGTTTAAAGGGAAAAATGGGAGAAACCTCAGGGAGAGCAACAGAGGAGGGATCCCTCTCCCAGGACGGACAGACGTGCAATAGATACCGTGTGTAAAATAAAACGTTGTCTCTCTTATGCTTCCTGGTCACAATTACGTGGATTATACACAATTTGATTTTGTGGGATATACAAATAAGAGTAAATTCCTTTATGTTGCTACAAAAAAGTCTGTGAGAACAGCTTGAAATATTTGTTTAACTTTTTTATTTGTAAAATGGACAAATCTGAATAGCACTGTTAGTAAGAAGCACTACAACCCATGCAATATACTGTATAATCCTTTAATTCAGCATCAGCTCAGAAAGAACATAACAAAACATCTGTCTTATCTCTCAGCTTACCTCGGTATTAATTTGACATACGACACAGGCTTGGGTTCGACAAGGTGTTATGTGTGAATAGCCCGGCCCCTAATTAATGAGGCTTGATTCCACAAGTTTGACTCATCTGCAAAAACAATTAACACTGGTCCTTTTTAACAAGGCAGAGGGAATAAATCAAATATTAACACAAGGGTGGAGAGTCCTCGCTCAGTGTAATTAGGACAGCAAGAACCTAAAGGCCCTTAGCACTGTGCTTCATTATCAATTGACAACCTGTATGGCCCCTGACAGTGACTGATCTTCATGGGGGGCTGCCTGTGAGTGCCTCTCCACGCCGCAGAGTGTGCAGGAGAATGAGATTTGCAGCCTTTTGTCTCAGTGAATCGATGCTGCTCTTTACCGCCTTCTACCTGTGCAAATTCAAAAAGCAAGAGCCCTTTGTTGTTTGTTTAACGCCTGAAGTAGGAGATCACTTTTGAATATATTCACTCAACTTGTGTCATGGTTAAATGCGAGAAAAGGGCTAATCTCTCCACGTGAGATTGATCCTTAAATGCTTTCAAGAAAGGTGACATTAAACAACATCGTGTTCGTCATTTTTTGGCTGAACGGATGCTCGAGAACAAAACAAACAAGTCTTCAGATGTAATCGCAGTACTTGGTGTGCTTGTAGGGTTTAGCATTAAGCTTCTGTCTGCTTCTTCCTTCACACTGGGCTTCAGTGCCTGATGATATCCAACTGGAGCCATTATGCATTGTACCTGAGTCTTTTTCTCTATTATATAATCGAGTGGAAGTGTGTGTCATACTGTACAACTGTTTTAATAAACAGAAGGGTTCTGCATGGAGAATTTGCATAATTATTCTAACAAATGTGAACTCAGCAGTGTATCCCAACCCATTGTTACAAAGCAATTAAAGGTGGCCTGAGAAACCGCTCAGCTACAAGAAATATACAGAATCTCACACATCTTTTTTTGTTCATGAAATAGATGATATGGGGAGAATTTTCCCCCCGTTTCAAAAGGGTGTCCTTTTGCCTTTTCCACAGTAGATATATTAGATTTTCTTTCTTCAAAGCCCCCCAAAGCTCTGTGCTCTGTAATCGTATTATGGCATTTCCCGCACTGCCTCGGTATGGTTGCAGGGCTCAGGTTTAAAAACCAAGCTATGTGTTTCAATTTTTACCAGCAATTTGTACAATTCATGGTCGTCTGTCAGCGACAGATTCCTGCATGACTCTCCAGATTCCTCTCTTCTATCATCAGCCCTGACATTTAAAGATAAGATGTGATCCAGATGGGATTTGATCTTTAACATTAAACTGAGGCCATGGTCCCAGTCTATACAAAATGCCATCAATCACATCTTTAATCTCCCTCTGCTTTCCCTTTGCGCCTTCTTCACGGAGGAACTTATCCTGATCACAGTGCCACACGCTGCTCTTTCCGGGGGATTAGTAACATTTATTCATTACGGCCTGTTTAAAAGTCACACAATCCTGGTTATTACTGGTAATTTTAGCAGATGCACACACCTGAGGCAACTGAACCTATCTTAGTATAAATGTGCTTATTTGGAAACCATAAAATACACAAATTCATATTCTGAAAAGTGGCACCACATCGAATCACATGCTGTTTTTATATGAGCTTAATAGTGTGAAAACATGTTCTCTGGTACCAGTGTAAATCAAATAAAAAATGCAAATGACAGAGAAAAGAACGGCTGATTGCTGAACTCGTGGTAATTTATCTCTAGAAAATACTGAATGACAGATCTGCATTTCAGGCACTTTCACTGTCAGGAGGAACAACAGTGTTGTGCTTAGGTGGCCCACTTTCATTTGTGAATAGATGATGTGCTTTGAATTCATTTTTCAATGCTCAGACCATTCATAATTAATAAGAAACTCTTCACCTTAAAAGGACCAGACTTCTTCTTTTTAAAGTGAAAACAATTCTTTATGGATAACTGAATCACTGAAGTGAACATCAATTTATCTGAAATGATGCTAAAACCCCACCGGCACTCGCACTTCAGCGTATGAGACGCAGATTTTTGACAGACACAAAGCAGATCATTTTGCTGCAATATGTTAACATCTCTCCTTAAAAGTCTGACTTCTAGATTAGAAGGGTTTCATTGGACGATGTGAAGAATCTGATAAATACCCGGCTGACCTGGACTATAACAAATCTGTTTGGCTCATTATGTGGAGGTGGTATTTATATATAGACTCAACCTCCTATAACCCACTTCACTTCTGAATGGTTGCTATCCTTTAAGAGGATAATAATAGTCACTGTCACTGTATTAGTTTTACAACACTGACCGTGTGACAGAGTACATTCATCACTACAGCCTCCAGAGGAAGCCCTGTTACACGATGACCTGCTCCACAGCAGAAACACAGGAACTGTTTATAGGAACTTCACCCCAATGTATAGTCTGTCAGTCATTTACTTTACACAATGACTGCAAACTACATGATTCATGAAAAACTGCATGCATATGCGCTAGTTATAGATAAGCAATCCTGGGCCATTTAGTCTCTGGCAGGAAATTGTAAAGCAATGTTTAAAAATGTTGTGCTTAAAAGGATGTAGGACAATGCAACTCCAAAATGCTGCGATGAAGGAAACAAAAAAGGGGCTGCATCAATGACCAATGGAAATGATCCATGTGGAGAATACTTGGCTTTAAATCAAGATATTTCCCCTGAATTATGAACTAATGTATTTGTATTAATAAAAGTTCCTACATGTAATTCATCATTTGTAAATTGGCAACCAGTGTGCTTTGACAGAATTGAAATAAGATGTTCCACATACTGATGGAGATGTTCTCAATACTTTGTGACTTAACTACATTGTTTGTGGTTCCTATATGTTACCCCAAGTCCATTGATTTTCACTAAAGACGTAACTCATCAAAAATGTATAGTTTAACAAGTCTTATTCATTTACTCAAACAGCTGGTCATAAGTGGCAGTTATTAGTCAATGATTCACAAACAGTATTAAACAATGCATTTTTGGGCACTATTTTCTGCTGTGGATTTATACACTCAAAGTTTCTACAGAAGCAGTGGATTAACTCAAAACGATAGTGCTGAAGGAAAATGTCCTTGAGGGCAACAGCGGGGCTCAGTGATGTGTTTTTAATAGTTTTTTTTTTTTAATGGGATTTGTCGGCAACAACACAAATACAATATCAAGGAAGACATCTCAAAAACCTTATCCTTGAATTACAATTTGGCCTTGAATTATTTCACAGTGTAAAGTCAAAACCCAAGTTAGGAGTGCAAATCTGCTTTTGCTTTTGGCGGGGCTGCTTTATACGGTTTTAGTGAGTGTTGGACAAGTGAATTACTGCAGAATTCTGCAAACCTTAATGATAAACTCTAACTTGAGTCATTACAAAACCAATTTCACTCCAGGAGGAACAAAGGAAACTGAAAAAGAATAGAGCTGATGTAAAAGGATATAGCAAGGTGAGATTTGTGGCGGAAAGATAAGGATGAAACGTTCATAAATTATAAAGCATAAACGATACATGATAACTACCAGCTTCCTCGTGCTTTTCCCTTAAAGTGTCAAATCGATACCACCCTCGATTAGATGCAATTATGGACATTCTCACAGTATCACTTTTATGAGACAGACTGACAGTCCATCAATCAATAGGCTCTGGAGAAATCTACACGATACCCTCACACATTACAGCATTGCTTTGGCCATAGACAAATACAGGATGTAGCAAACGGAGATGTTTCTGCTGCTGATCTATTATTGTGTTCAGCAAATTGTACAGGATTCTTGTAGGGGAATAACAACAAGCCGTGTGTGCTCCGTGATTGAAAAAGCAAACACACCTGGACCTTTGTATAAAGAGGTCGTGCTACGTTCTGGAAACATGCTCAAAGAAAATTGTTGTAATGTAGTAGAAAAAAAAGCGAGATATAAGGGAAGAAAATGTTCCACTCACGACGAACTCATCTTTCCATAATACCCTAGTCTCTGCGCTCCCATCCTTCTTTCCAACCTCCAATTACAAAGAGAAGAAATGCCCCGCTTTTTACCGCTCGGAAATACACAGGCTTTACATCAGAACTCAATTTGGTTTGGTAATGAGATTGCGCTTGTGCATTTCCCCATGCAGACAGCCCAATCTTCAATTGCCAGTACACATGGGGGCTTTGCTTAGCAGGAAGGCTCTGAGGAAATAGACTGGTAAAAGCGTTGCCTTTTTTCATTTGGAGGAAACTTTGAGCTCACCTTGTGTAGTCTTTTCAAAATGACCTTGAGAAATTTCAAAGGACAAGCTTACCTTTTAAATAAGGCTTTGAGTGTGTTTTGAAATGGATCCCAGCATTATTTCAAGTGATGTGAACAAAGACTTTATAGACCCCCGGTCACGGCGTTGCACTTCCAAGAGTTTCCTCTTTTTGCATGCAGCTATTCACAGTGCAGAGCTTCAGTGGTTTGCTATTATGTAAAATCAATGTATGTTTATTCAAGTCTTTTACTCAACGTGATCCATAGTACATAATGCTCTCATTACTTGTGTAATACTATTCACATTTGCTTTACTGCAGTCTGTACCTTTCAGGCAGCCATTTTTATCAATCTATTTCACCACAGAATGAACATCTGGCTCTCCCTAGGGACTGTGCAGATAGACTTCATATGATATGATTCACATCATACCAAAAACATTTGGTACCATATCACATTTATCAAAGTCTGATATCAGAATGTGGATGCTTTCTGGCATTAACCTTTGGATTGTTTTACTTTTCATTTTACCCCATCAGAAGATAAGGTATCATTTCATAACTTCCTCCATGTTTCTTTTTTAAATACAAGATGGTGTAAATATGCAATTAGTTTGACAGGAGAACGTTTCTAATGCACAGCAGTCCAAAATATGACCAGTTAGAGCAAGTGATGGATAGATTTGTCACATCAAATGGAGCTCAACGCTGACATATCTCAGCACTCAATACAGTGAAACCTGAGCTAAAATGCGTCTGTACTCTGTACGTGTACACGGAAAGGTGCTAAGCTTACAGACTTTTGTGGACAGGAAAATGTAGCTGTCCCGTAATAGAATGCCTCGTCCATGGGACAAAACTGTCAAAAGTTGCAAAGGTGACATCTTGAGACAAAACACTCCTCTTTATAGCAGCAAAGATACTTCCATAAAACACCTAACATTTATTTAGGTTCATTTACTTTTGAACAGAACTAAAGTAATGCATTCAACCAATTATCATAATTCATTGACAGATTAATTAATTATTTTGTTTAATATTTATCAGCAAATGGCCTTGTTTTTGGCTTGAAGGTATGTGGGCCAAAGAATATCTATAGTTTTAAAATGTTTTGGGAAAAGAGGAAAGGGAATTTTTATGAAACTACATACCAAGCCATACCAAGGATGCTTATCAACTTTTAATACAAGCAAGTAGAATTTAATATTATTCTGATATGAATGGAAATCAATGGCTGCCTAACAGATACCAACATTGTTGCAAACATAATCATGGAATGCATTTCATTTAAGTTAATTAAATACAAATTGTCAAAGTTTTCTGCTTGCCCTAATTATTCCAGCACATGTCCCTGAATACCTTACCTCTCCTTGTAAAATAAAGACTCATCCAGATTCTCATTAAGGATAGAGTATGTGATATACTCACAGTTAAAGTCACAGCCATACTTTTCAGTGTGTGCAAAAAGGGTTGGACTTACATAGTCGTCGTATGACTCATGTGTGACTGCTAACAGCAGGGGTCTGTATCCTGCGCTCCCTGCTGCCCCCCTGGCTCTCGGGGCTTGTACCTCCCTCGTGAGAACAGTCGTGGGTAGTTTGCCGTGTGTCGCTGCTGCTGTCCCCCGAGGTGCTGCTGCACTCCTCCCTGTGCCTCTGTGGCCCCTGGGAAAGCGTCAAACAGACAAACATTTGCCTTAAGAGTCTCACCCCATAACATGTTATGCAGTGATTTAAGTGAAAAGTGGGGTTAAGACATTAGGGAAGTTGTTGATTCCCTTTTATCGCTGCATATGTGCATGCTGCCTCAGTAGGTGGCTGCCGTACAGTCTGCTCGGGTGAAACACAAGATAAGCATAACCTCCGCTGGCACTGAGGTAGATTTTGTAATGATCAGAGGGCTCAAGAGTGTCACTTTGTGTCTCTCTCAGCTTGTCAAACATGCCTGTGGGACGCAGCGTGCTTATTTCAATAACACAGCGGAGCAGTGCCGAGTCTTTGTACAAAATCACACCTCCATCTGCCTGAAGCTGCACAACATTGTAGAATTACAAAGCCCTATTCAGCACGGTCCAGAAAAGAGACTTTAGAAGCCAAAGGACATGGGCAGGCAGACATGGGCAAAAGCATTTAAGGTGGATTGTTTCTTTTATGGGGGGGGTATGACTGTCCAGTAGCAGAACCACAGAAAACACTGCAGGGATTGAAGGGTGGGTTTAGCATTGCTAATCTGTCTATTGTCCGCTAATTTCACATTTTTAACAGCGGCATGATGTAGGTGGGCTAGGATACCCTTTCTTCCTCTGGCACATCCTTCACTAGGTAGCAGCCCATTGTGATCCAAAAATACATCCTGTCAAAGGGGAATTACTGGTGCATATTTTTAATGGAGATTAACAATAATTGCTTATCGTTGTGCTACAAGGAGAAAATCTAGGTAGGGAAGTGGTGGTGGTGACTTTAAATTGTTAGCGTCAGGATTTAGCTCATTTATGCTACCTGAAATTAGGTCAGGTTTTCATTGCACACCGTACCTGGTTACTCCTTAGGGACCGCCACGGCAAAGGTAGATTACGGACAATTTGCTCTAAAAACAAATTTTAGAGGAGACTTGAACAGGCCGACGTTTCATACGAGCAGCTGCATGCATGGCTAAACCGATCAAATGTTCTCTGACACTAAGTTATTTCTGTAGCTGCTCCTGTCTGTATCCTAAAATCCCCATGAGCTACGGTAGAGGACGTGGAAATCAACTCAAGACACAACTCGAAAAAAACATTAGTAAAGGATAAAACTTTTAAAAAACGATTTACAACCTGATCAAGTTTTGATGAACCATTAAATTCACTATAAAATTGGACAATTCCTTTTTAATTTTCTACGGTTGAGTTTTAGTATGCATCATATTGCTACACATATAAGCTGCTAGAGGTTGACATCTTTTAGGTGATGCATCAAAGAAACACATGAAAATGATTTACTCATCATGAGGATACTGCTCAGCCATTTATAACAGTCATATAATTATTCACAAGTAATATATATGCTCAACGGAGCCCCCTCACCTACAGTAAGTGTATTATCACTTGTTAATAATATATTTCTGCATGACAATACGAAAATAACACAGCTAACACAGCTGTCATTCTTGTGAAAATGACTGACCGGGAAAAAAATATGACTGTCTTTACAATGAACTTAGTCTCTGACGTTTGGCTCATTGTTCCCAACACGGGCTAATACAAATAATAATAATCATTTTTTAAAAATGGGCCTAGAGACGTGTTGATTTAAGCCCGGGCGATGCATCTGAGCAGACCAACCCACCTGTCACTCAAAGTGGCTACGTCCTTAGCTAAGCATAACTCCTAGCCTTTATATAATTTAAACAGTCGAGATATAAAAATGATGGTCTGTACGGATTTCCGATTTTGAATTTAGCTGTAGATACCAGCCTGATAACATGTGTATATCTGCTCAAAAGTCTTAGTATTTTACCATGGGGTGTGTTGGGATTGATTTGATGTTGGAGCCAGCCTCAAGCAACAGTGTTAAAACGAGCTCTCTAAAGTAAAATAAACCCCCCTGACAATGGAGAAAACCATTTGTGCTCACCATTATGTACATATTAACATATTGAAGACAAATTCTTAACCTAACAGTAAAGAAATATTTCAATTTTCTGAAGTTTTCTGAAATGAAGTTTGCCACATTTTCTCAGCAAACTTTTTGTAATAACCGTTACCTTCAGAAATACTAAAGTTCAAGAACTGTTATTATTGCATTAACACACAAATACTCAAGTCTTTAGAGCCCTTTTTCTTTCACACCGCAGTATTATAGTGCTTTACCCTGTGGATATGGTGGCTGCCGGTCGTGCACTCCTCACCGGCGCGCTCCTGCCTCGGCTCGACTCTTCGGAGCCGTTCAGCAGCGAGAGCTCTCTCAGCTGCTCCTGTCTGATCTCGTCATTGTAGTCCTGCGGGAAACAAAACACAGCAAGTCACATTTGTCTTCTGACTGCAACAGATGCTCGCAACAGCAGCATATGTCATCTAATCAAAATGATCTTGACACGCACATAGGAAACACATGGCGTTGCTGAGTGTTGAATACTCAATGAAGAATATTTCCTTTTGGTTATGTTTGGACACAGCATGCTGGGAAGAGATACGTATTGTAGGAAAAATCTATGTTCATAAAAGAGCCTTGGGTTCATTGTTAGCAGCAGTTAGTGGAGCAACAGTTTTTTTGTTAAAGATTTTGCAGAACTAGTTTGAGTTTTTGACAACAAATTGCCTTCTGGAAGGATGGGAGAAGAAATAACCACGAAAATCATAACTTGATACCAAAACCTGGATGTTACAACAACATACAAATGTGAATTTAAAATAAAAAACCTACTGCAAAGCAACAGCAAAAACACAGCTTATTTTGTTACAAACAACTTTGTGTGAAATCTTGTTTTGTGAGTCTTCTCTATTTTTCTGAACCTGTTATCAAACATGATACGGATTATTACGCATCAGATAAGGGAGTGGACAAAGCAGTATTCATTATCTTGTCATTGCTGACAGATAAACGTGCGTATTTCTCAGAAAGCACACCCACCTAGAATGTGGAGTATCGGACAAAATATGTTTCTAATGACAGCAAAACAACAGAGGCAGCAAAGGCTTTCTTTGGTCTTCAGTGGGTTTGACAGCCACATGTTGTAACTTTTGTTGGGTCTTAGTGACTGAATGACTGGTTGCCACACACCAAAAAACCTACGCCATCCAGAACACACACAGAGGTTATTACAAACAAAGCTGGAATGACAACTTAGACCAAGTCTGCAAAATATATTTCCAGAAAAGACAGTTACAATTGAGTTGGAGTTGGAAATCTAATCTATAATGATATTCTGAGTTGTGTCACCTTTTTTTAAGTTCTTATTTCATGACATTTGTTTTAATGTGTTGTAAACTCATCAACACGACACTAATGAATTGGTGTTTTCACACTGAGTTTGACAGTTTTGACACTGAATGTTACCACACAAAAGCCTATTATTAGTTACAAGTTATTCAGTGTGAATGGGAAACATTGTGAAACTGATTTATTGTCCAATTGTGTGAAGGGAAAAATAACTCATTATCAGAATGTAGTCTGGTGACTTTAACATCCAAATGTGCAATCACACTCTTCGTCGGCTCGAAAATGTCTTTCAGCATAAAGTCATTAATGTTTGACTTTTCTTATTATTTGTATTATTTTTCATTTTTTTTCACCTTATATTTGAGGAACACTATGCAGAATGAGCTTCAGTTTAAAAATGTACATCGTAGCTATAGTTTAAATTAGTAGCCAATAGTTGTTTAATATGCAACTTATACAAGTGTGGTCTGGAAACTTCCTCCAGTGCCCATATAGTGAGGATGGCCTTTACAATGAAGTGAAATATCTTGTGTCCTCCGGTATCATTCTTTGGGTTTTTTGACCGATATAACAGTGTGGAGCCATGTTTTGTTGTGTGTACTCTGCACTAACTAAGGTTGTGAGGAAGAAGCTTGCAAGCCGGTATACACAGATGTTATCACTGCAGACTTTGCAAATGTTTTACAAGGAAGAAAACACACTCGTTTGTTTAAACAAATGTAAAGCTTTAGTGAGTAACACTGAATGAAAAAAACAAACGTTGCTTGTTTACAAGAACACTCCACAGGGACCCTTAAAACGTTGCATATTCATAGATAACGCAACGTTTTAATGAAGGAGAAGGAGTACATTGTCTTATTAAAAAAGAGACACACATTTTTCTGTACACTATACCAGTGTTTTTCAAAGTGGAGGCCCGACCCCCCGGGGGGCCGCCAGGGGGCTCCAGGGGGGTCACGCAAAGTTTGAGGGAAAGGGGAATTTTTTTTCTTTTTTAAAGTTACATTTTTATTTTTTTTTTAGATGTTATTAATAACTGCATATCTATCAATCTATGTGTCCTTTGATGCCAACATTTTTATATTTTGTATTTATTAATATTTTATTTTTTTGTTTTTAAATCACACGACCGCCCTTCAAGCCAATCAGAATCGAGCTGCCGCTACTGAGAGTGAAACTGAGTATCTGCTCAGCTTTTGGAGCAAGTGAGAGCTAGTGAATATTTCGCTCTGCAGCTGGATGAGAGCACGGATGTAGCAAATATTGTTGTTTATATATATGCATATAAATATGTTTATTGATAATATTACTGTTGAATATTATATATAATATTATTAAGACATAAGTAGCTTTCAAAAATGCTAAAAATATATGTTAATTGTTCATATTACTGTTCAAGATTATATAATATTATAAAGACAGAAATCACTTTAAAAATATGTTTACTGTTGATATTACTGTTTAATATTGTGTTAAGAATGTTTATAATAGAAGACACAATGAATGTAATGAATGACAAACAAAAGATAAATACAATGTTTAGAAGAATAACTGATTATTAATTATTAATACAAATATATATTAAGAAAATGTATTAAGCTGTAATTTGTCATATTTTCCATCATAATGTACTCATCATTAAAAAAAATAATTGCAACAGGGGGGTCCCCGCCAGACGATAATGCTATATAGGGTCCTTGGCATGGCAAAGTTTGGGAACCCCTGCACTATACTATATGGCTAAATAATAACAACATTTCACATATTTGGACCTTCAACCTCTCATTTAGAAAAGTATGGGTTTCAATTCATTGTGGTGCTTTGTGGCAGCTTGATATTCTAGAGGTTCAATGATGCCAGATTAGTGGACCTGAAGGGAAACACCAAAAGTATCACGTCATAAATTCAAAGAATATTTTTGTCATATGCAAGCATTGAATATTTTGAATATTAAATGAAATGACATGCAGCATTAATTTCTCCTTCTCTCCCATTTATTTCTCATGCTTTAACATCGAGACAGCCTATGTTTAACATAGAATCATAACGATATGTTTACAGCATGTCTGAAGGCCACAGTACGGTGGTTTAGCCGTAGACTAGATCCTCAGTGCCTTGTGTTTTGCTCTCTGATGCCATCACCCCATCTTTTCCCATCAGCTTTTCTGTACTTAACGTTTCTGCCGGAATGAACCATGGGTGTCAGTCTACTGCGTTTATCATAACCCGTACATCACCAATGCCCAATAATATCTGTACACGTTTCACATACAAATTTCGGCCTAATTTTCCGGTCACGTTTTCCCATCTCTCCATTTACGTCAATGTGATATTAGTCAAATTGGGGACATATGAAGAACAGATTTTGACTCATGTCACAGAGGAAGAAAAAGCATCTAGTGATTTCCAAAACACTTGACACCTGGCACACATAGCTTCTCTTGTTAATGAATTAATAAGTCCTACAGCGTTGTGCTGGTTTGAAGGAGACTGGCAGGACATTTAATTGGAAAGCTGGCAGCTTATTCAAAGCACAACAAACGTGCCAGAGCTTGTAAAAGTTGACTGTTGACAGAGACGTTAGCATGAGTACACAGAGATAAACCGCATGCTGAGGCTTCTCAGGTCAGACTGTTTGCTCACTCAGATTAATTCTGACCTTGCGTGACCTTGGACACACACACACTGCCCTTCACAGAGCTATAGTTAGACTTGAAGGGGTCGGCACAGTACGTGGCGATACCGATCTCTCTTGTGTTTGGGTCTACCTGCGACATGTCTCTGTTGCCGGCTGTGTTGATTGATTTCTTGCCTTGCCTAGCCTCTATCACTGTGATATGAGTCTGGTGGCTTATGGACAATTTATGAAAGAACTCCTCCTTTATCCTTGGACATTTTTCTGGCAAAAACACCAGAAATGTTGGATAATCAATCTCAGTAGATCTTTAATTCAAAAAGATGGTGATCTCCTCTGAGACCTTGAGGGAATCTAGTAATGTCATTTTGCTGAGTAAATATAATGCTCCAATAGAAACAAATTATGAAAGACAAGCAAAGACAGCACATCAATCCCAGCTTTTGGAAAAAGTCTTCTAGCCTTTGTTGGATTAATGATATTGTTCAATCAAGGGGGATCCACATTATCACTATATTGAGAGAACTATTATAATATACTAAGATATCTGATTTATACACGTCAGTAGATGCATTGCTTCTCTAAAATAATTCAGTGCTAATATACATATTCAGAGATACAGATTCATGGCACCCAGGCCTGTGAATGAGCTGTTTTCCATGAGCTAACAAAATCTGAAGTGAGATATGTCTAATTTTTAGATCAGCTGATGAAGACGCTCTTATAAAGGGTTGTGTCTGCATAGCTGGATAGGCAGAATTTAAGTGTGTGATACTTCATGTTCCCTTACACAGCAGGCACATGGGTCAATTTGCAGGGCTGGACAAACTCATATTTGCAGGAATGGCAACCTCCAACCGTGAGTTTTTTTCAGTCCATGTCACCTGTTTCAATGTCCACATAGACACAAATAGTTGCTGACTTATATCAGAAGTTATATAAGTATATTTAAAGTTCAGTGAGAAAGAAGACTTTAAGAAAGACCTGTGTATACAGTAGTGAGCAGATTGTTTTCTAGGATGTAATATGATCAGATTATTTTAATTTCGTATGCGTAAATTCCTACAGGGCACAGTCTTGTAAGATTTGTTTTCCAGCTAAATAAAAGTCTGAAAAACCATTAGATAACATGCTGTCCTGCGTAACAACCTTGTGAAAAATGTTCTTATCTTCCCAAAGCACATCAGGCCCGTTGATCCAGTGGCGCAGAAGCAGCTGCAGCAACAGCTGTTTATCTGCATTTTGATATAATGCTTGTTACATTCGTTACTGTATATCCATATGTTTTTCCGCATGAGCTGCTCATTTATGCTCCTAACAAAAGCACTGGTTGAAGGCCTGGGCTTCTGATACCAAAAGTTTTAATTTGTTAGTATAATTTAGGATTTATGCTTGTTTGTTTCACTTTATTGTGCTGCTTCGTAATTCAGGGTTGATACCGATTGCAGAATCTATATATATATATAGTGCGCTATTAAAGGACAAAATCTGCTACCATTGCGTAATAATAAAAAAAAAAGTATTCTTTCTTAGGATTTATTTCAAAGTTAGCTCAACATTCATTGCACTTCCTTCATTTCCACAGTAAATTGGCAGGTATTGTTAGGAGCACCTGCTGTCTGGGTCTTTGCTGAAGGTAATAATGCAGATGACTGAACAGAAGTGGTTGCCCCTGCAACATCGGGCAAGTCTTCTGTCTCTTTATGTGGGATCATATGGAGCAAATAGATTAAATGTAATTACGCTTTAATAGCCTGTTTATTTTAGTTTGACGTCATGTTTGACTTATGCAAAAACAAATTACCCTCACATATCTTCTTCAAGCATCTGCGTCACCCTCTGTCTGCCAAAATGCAGTCTGGCCCGCGATGAATGCCACACACTCATCCAGCTGACAGCAGGAGCTCCTCTCCTCCTTCTCACTTCTCTCAGCGTGTTTATACAGCATCGCACTGATCAGGTTCCTGTACTTTTTCAAGGGTGCATAACTGTGAGCTGACAGCACTGACAGCACTTCTGTAGTCAGATGTAGCTTCACGGCAGATCTGAGGGCTCGGTTTAGACAATCTTCTTTTCCTCAGTTGCTTCAACGATTGATAAAATTCACAGTCAGACAAACTGTAGTCCTTGGCGGCCTTTGTGTGCTATTTCTGCATACATTCACCAAAAATACGGTAATGGTGCCTGTGAAATTGGAAATGGTCACACAGCTTGTTCATGTAATAGTGTGTTCCTTTTTCAATAATTGTGAATATCAGAATAAATGTGTAGAAACGGCATAAGAATTCCTTAAACATTTAACAAGTTATTCCCTGTTTTGTAGATATTAGTTCACTGGGAAGCATGTTTTGTTAAAATGCAAGACATTTATTTTCAGATTTTTACATTAAAAGATTGTTTCTTTGCGTAGAAGACGGAGCACATTTGAGTTTTTGTTGGAGAGAGGTGTAGCAGTGAGCTCACTTCAGCTCTCTGGCTCTGGCACATACTTAGATTATAGCTGCCACCAGCGGTGTAAGTCACTTAACTAAACATGTGGCGCTGTGGGAGACGGCTCCATGTCTCTGTGATCCTGCCTGCTGCATCACTCTGAGTTGAGTTGGGTTTTTGAGGCATAATGTCGCACAAGCAGGGGTATATTGGTTACTGGAGCAGTGCTAGTTTTCCTGGTGGGCCGTCAGAGAAAAGCAATAGTGTTGCACACCAGCTGTCTCGAATCAGGCATGTCTGTAGCTAGATCATAAATTCAGTCAATCTTTCCTCCTGGGCCAAATTGTATTTGGTGCATTCTACATTTTACATGCTGAGCTGACAAAAACTGATTTTAAAAAAAGGAGTCTGTCCTGGAATTTCTCTAACATTGTTAAACTCAAGATAGACAGTTTAAACAAATTGCATCAAACGCAATCGTCCTCTTTGTCAGACCAGGTGCCGACATATCCACAATGCAACACTGTAGCTGACAGTTTGAATGGAGATCTGGATGTGTAGAAGCAACTGAAAGTTAACAATTTAAACACCTTCAGAGTTTTTTCATTCTCAAACTTGGTCTTGTATTTAAACCAATTACCACATTGGGTTAATTTCTCAGACTTTACACTGGACCTCCTGGAGCTAAAGGTTTTATACATATGCAGTAGTACTCCCCAACCCCAGTGAACGGACTTTGATGTGTTAAATCGATGTAGTCCCCCTTAAGTTAATCAAATCCGATAAACTAATTAACATTATGCTGCCTTTTGGAAGTATGAGAATTAAAAAATTGAATTAACAACATTAACAAGTTATCAAACCCAAGCTGATTATTTTCGACCAAACTAATGCCTAAGCCTATAGCAATTCACTTGAAATTGCATTCTGAAAACAGTAAAAGTCTGTTAATACACAGCGAAGCAATAACAACAACATAAACAGCAGGGCACATTTGCCACTCTCCACCAGAGGCAGGAAACATCTGTTACTATGGATACTGACAGATGCCTTTTGTGTTACATTATGCAGTTTATTGGCAAAACTATAAGACCCCTGAGGCAGCATGCATGTGCTATAAAATATAATGTTTGGTCTTTATTTTTCTGGCATAAACATGACAAGTGGACTTAAGGGAAAGTGTGTTCATATTTTCTAATTTCACATTATATTTTTCATCAATAGGTCTCCCTTGAAAAAGAGATCAATGATCTCAATGGGATACACCTGGATAAATAAAGGTTTGAAATGAAATGAATAAAAATAAATTATATATGTTTAGTATTAATTTAATAATATATAAAATTAGCAGGTCTTATTTTAGTTTGGAATAGCATTTATAATAATGGCAACTGTATTTTAGGTTTTAGTGTTCACTGCTGGGACTAAATGGAACCTGCAAATATAGCAAACAGTGCCTTTTCATGCAGTTATCCTTTTCAGCTCTTATGTCACTTAGTTAAACCTTATTGATTTGCTCTCTTCCTACAGTTCCACTGCATCATTAATTATTTCTGTTGGCAGATTTACACAAAAGACTCAAACTGTTGTCTGGCCTTAATGGTTTTACACTTGTATGCATTACAGCCAATGCTATGTATAAACTATTTAGAAAACGCACTGTACTGTTATTATAATAATTTAGAATACACAGTACCTCCTCTTTAACTACTGCAATTAAGCAAGAGCTGAGACTCTGCCAGTAATACATTTATTTTCTTGGAAATATAGTGTGAAAGTAAAGCATCGTGTTTACTGCAGTTTATACAGTGACCCCAGCTAACGATACACGAAAGCTCCTGCTGATCTGACCCTTTTTTTACCACAACAAGCTGGTGTGGATGGCACAATGCAAATCACATCAGAGCACAAATGGGTTGTGAAGCAAATTAGCATTTCTGAGAAAATGTACGCCTGGTGTGCATTTACAGCACCAAACTGCTGAATGTTATCTCGGCAGAGGGTTGCTCAAAGCTTGTTTTACCATACTATTGAGCACAGTAACAGTTCCGAAATGTGCTCTGAATGCATAACACATCTTTCAGCAGGGGCCAGTTCTGTTTTTAAGGCCCGACTTCTCATCACAACTGTTTGCACCTCCAGTCAAAGAGGCTCATGAGCTGCTGAGGGGCAGGATGGCATCGAAAGGTACATTAAATATGTTTAACAAGACCTCCTATGAAATATACCCAATTCTTCCAAATCTGTATTAAAGGTCTCCAATATGCTATTTTTAGGCATATATTATGGGTCTCAGATATATAAAAATATATAGAAAACATGTCTATGATGTGTTTTGCTCAAAATACCAAACAGATCATGCATTTTAAATATCCCTCATATCCCTCTGTCAGCCCTGTTAGAGAATGGCTGATCTGGGTCCTTAGCTTGAAAAAAAGAGAAAAGAGGAGGGGGTTCACCAGAAAATGAGTTCCTTTTTATTTCCTGCTTTTTTACACATGCTCTCTCCAGTACAGGTTAGCTCTGAGTGTTAGCGATGCTTGCTAATGTAAACAAATACCATATTAAGTCCAAAACACGTCGGGCATAGTTTCTGATAGCAACGTTTCTGATAGTGCCGTGGGTCCACATTTCAGATATTACGTCATATCGGACGCAAATTTGGATCAGCTCCATTGTACCCCGGTTTTTAGAGATTTGGGTACGGAGGAAAAGAGAGAGGGTTTTGTTTTCTGACACTTTGTGAGTTCCCTGGCACACCAGGGACACATATTTATGTATAAAAGACGTACAAAAGTGCATTTTGCACGATAGGTCCCCTTTAAGGAAGGAAATACATACACCACATTCAAGGTGACGTTTAGCATTAAGCAGTGTGCCCAGTTAGTGAAACGGCACCTCTTAAACTGTCAGTCTGGTCTTGGACTGATCTGGGAATTTAACCGGCAACCTTCAGGTACCAGACCAAAGTCCCTGTCTGAACCCAAGATATGTCTAGTTTTTACATGTAGTATTTTATCTGAAAGTCTAACACAGAAACATCAGGAGCAGCTTTATAATGTAGCTATTCTTGCTTTTTTCTGCAGACTGTAATTTGTACTAGGAAGGGTATTAGCTGTACAATGAAGATGCAGCATCATCCTACTGGCCCGGTGAGCAGAAATGCTTGTAAGAACAAGGTTTCAGAATAGGAAGAACCAACACCAAGTAGACTCATGCAGCACAACTCCTCTATAAGGCTTGTCACATTGGCAAAGCTTGATTAATATTAGCTAGAGTACACAACATGCACATTAATTATTGCTCAGTTCTCCGGGCTATAAGTTGCCAGAGTCTTGCAAGTATTTTCATACTGCACATTAATTGCTGAATACATTAGTTTTCATTTGTAAGTAAGGGCATGAAGTGTAGGGAAGTGGCTGCAAAGCGGAGAAAGTGCTTATCGAACCCTTATAATAATAAACCCTGCATACTGTAAACTCTTGGAGAAACAATCATGTCAGCAGTAATAACTGATTTCCATACACTGTATACTGCACACTAATGAAAAATAGGAGGGGGAAATAAGGTGAAGTATTAAACTTACTGGAACTAGGAATTTCTTTATCTCTTCCAAGGCGTGACTCATGCGCGAATAGGCCTCTCCAGGTGGAGCAAAGACTTCAATTAAAACGTGTAGATCATTACTCAGATGGGCGTATTTGGCCTCCTCGCTTTTCCTTAATTCTTCTTCCTGTGAAAAAACAAAAAGCAAGTAAAATATGTGTACAGATAAAATAGAAACCCAATATGCACTTTGAGGTTGTTTGGGTTAGTGGTAGTAATTACAATATTGCACACCATTTGGATTTTGGAATCAGTTTTTTATATTGTACTGCATATTGAATAAAACAAAGCAAGTAGTCTATGCTGATGAATCATTATGAACTGTTGATTATATCTTCCAGTATGTGTGTACAACAAAAACGAAATATATGATGGATAACACATATTTTCTCATCTTCTTTAATTACTATAGACTCGAAATAGGAGTGCATTATGACTTGTTTTGGGCTTGAATTTCAAAGTTTAGGAATTAGGCCTAGCCTGACTTTACTTGAGACTTGACTTGGGACGAGTGCAAAGTCAATTGGATACTTCACCAGTTACCAGATTGTTTACACAGTTCATGGCAATCCATTCAATTGTTAAGATATTTCAAAATTGGTCGGGCCAAAAACTTGCTAGCCTGGTTAAACATTTGTATTGAGCCACAAAATATTCCTGCTGTACAATCATTTTGAAAATAAAGATGTTTTGCTATGAAACACAACCTATTTTTCCTCCTTTCATTACAAACATTTATTAGACTGACATGCTTTAACCAACAGTAACTTTAGTTTCAAGTCAAGGAGACACTTGAGAAATCACTACATTCATCACTGTAGTACCCACACAAAAACATCTCTGAATGATATGTGGCCTTTTCTTCACTTGCGTAAGGAATGTCAACTTCCAAAGAATAATAAAAAAATAAAATACTGCTCATCTGACAACTACACTAAAATAACCTGACAAGAATAACGGAGAAATAGTACAGCTCAGTCACATATTTGGCACTAGGGATGCTGTTAGTGAATGTGTTTTTTTTTCTTCTAGAAATTGCATTTGGTGATTCGTTGTCAAGAAAGCTCTGCAGGCTCGGCTCCAAAACAGCTCGGGGAAATGTTTAAATGGATTGACATCCTGTGCCTGAGACATGGCATATAGTTCATGTCATCTTGATGGACAGTAAATTATGAATTTGTGACCATTTGTGCCAAGTGGATGTGGGAAAAAAAATCAAGGAACAGAAATAATTCCCTCTGAAAAGGCAAATGTACAGTTACAGTTTAGGAAGGAATATCACATCATGAGCAGGCTGATTATCTTTGGGCATCTCGTTTTCAGACAGCAAGGCAAAAAGAAAGATTAACGAGGTAACGAGGCGCAGCTGGGGAGGCAGCAGACCGATTAGCAGATGAAGGACAGGTGTGCCAGGGAGTAAAACACACAGGGGACGCCTGGTGGACAGGTTAGGCATGACACGTGTGATCAATAAAACCACACACACACAGGAGAGGCTTCTCAATACTCAAATTTCCCCTCCTCGACTCCTCGGTCCTCGGTCCTCCGGTAGTGACCCGGAAATGAATTTCAGCGCGCCATTTTGAAGGACATCTCATTTCTCTAAATGCACACCGAGGACCGAGGATCGAGCGTCGAGGAGGCTCTCTGGAGGAGCTATAACCGAGGATACACTGATGGTTCCTCCACGGCTCCTCCACGGATGCATTTCCGGGAACGGTGGAGGCGTGACGCACGGCCGGACTTATCTCAGCCAATGACAGCTATGCATGCATCCCCTGGATATTATTTTAAAAACTGCTCTCATCGCGTCGCGATGTTTCCAGAGAGAACAGCTGTAAGGTCCATGCAGAAAGCAGAGCAGTGTATATAATATATATCACTCAGTATAACAGGCCTACTCTCTTTATTTGCTTTAGTTTAGTAGATATCTACAAACAAAGAGTCGATATTTTTCTAAGACCATTGCTTCACATAATAAAATACACAACGGCTTATGCTTTAGGAGCTGTAGGTGTGTGTGGTACAGTGTGTAGGTGTGTGTTGTACAGTGTGTAGGTGTGTGTTGTACAGTGCGTAAATGCGGCGGACAGACGGGTCTCAGTTGGTTTGGTGGCCTCTGCTTACTTTTAATAGGCCTACTTGTAAATACAACTTTTGGCCCGTAATTTCAATTCCCCATTTCAGCGACCAGAGAGAGGGGGGGATATATCCAGTCTCTGATTGTGTTACGTTATTATGAGAGTGCTCTCATACTTTAAATTGTATATATTTATATAAATATATTTGTGTGTGTGTGTCCGCATCTGTAGCCTGTTATTGTCTCATTATACCGCACTCTCAATGAATTCAAAGTAAATATGTGGGGGAACAATGTTCAGCTGATCTAACAGAGATACAGCGCTATGACAAAACACTCGACAGCTGATGCAGCTGTTGCCACGTAATAATGAACGGACGTCTCTTTAAAATGACCGCTCAGAGGAGAGGAGTTCTCATTTCTTTAAACGTCTGCTGCTTCCCCTCCTCGGTCCTCCGCTCGCATCTCCTGTGGGCGGGTCTAAGTCTCGAGGAGGGGAAATTTGAGTATTGAGAAGCCTCTAGGGAAATGATGCAGGCACCTCCATGACGAAGACAAACAGTAGGTGCCATGGGATTTCTGTCTCTACATTATTGTCAGATTACTCCCTTTACATCCCAGGAACATTAGAGTTGGAAAGAAAACTGGCCTCTTTCTCTTATCAGAAATAAAAAAATTGTTTTGGCGTTAAACAAAACCAAGATATTTCATAAAAATCAAATTAAAACAAAATACACTTTACTGTGTTTCAATGTATTTCTGCTGGTTAAATGCCTCATGCTAATTCTAGCCCCTTTGTGTTCACTTCAACTCCACACTATCAGTTAAACAAATCCTTAAAACAAAAGAGTTCCACAGGATAAATGAAGTAGGGGCAGGGAGAAATAAATTAAAAATGCATAGAGGTGTTCAATTTGGATAGAGGACTTTGATTTAAAGAAAGTCTACCAGAAAGCACTGAAGTGAGGAAAGATGTCAATCCATGCTCCTAATGCAAACTGTTCAAAAGTTTGATGGCAAGAAAAGCCCAATCACTTAGTGATTCAGTCTTAGTCTTAACGGAGTCCCCGAGGGGCCCCTTCCTGAGGCTCACACTAACTTTAACAGCTTAAAGGATCTGTTAGCTCGGGGCCAGTCCTTACTATGTTTTAAAGAGACCAGTTGAATCATGAACTTTTTGTTGTGCAAATAATAGGAAGTGATGTCAGACCTTGTGGGTACGTTTTGTCATCTTGTATTAGTTGCAAAAGCCGCTGCTACTTAATTAACAATTTAGGGATTATTCATAATGCCAAAATACATTTAGTTGGAACCTTTGTGTATTCATACTGCACTGCAACAATTGGGTGTTGGGTGTTTAGCTCAAGGACTATGCAGCAAACAAGAGACAGAAGTATTTAAATTGTATCAGACACCGAATTTATAGCATTGAAAATAATTACTTTGAAAATCATGTATCTGAATTTTTTTTGCTCCGAATTTACCTATGTGAAATACAAATGTGTTTAAAATTCGATGTCAAAAAATTCGGTGTATAAAATTCGACGTCAAAAATTGCGATGCAGCATCATCCGGGCTACTCAGACAGGATAAGCAATCGAGCCTGAATGCAATCAAACCGACTTCTGGGGGACAGTGCGGTGAAGCCCAATGCTGCAAACTGTAGGCAATGGATGCAGATTGGAGCAATTCCCGTAGACCCTATGTTAAAATGTCCAACTTAACATCAGAAAATGAACATGTTTCTAGCCTGGATCAACAAAAACATATTCTGTATATAGTTAGATTCCCCCTTCATGACAACGGGACTGCGGTTAGGGTAACCCTAACCCTGCTCCTAGCTCCTCTGTCTCACTGCTAGCTCCGTGATGCTACAGCGGCTCAGCTCATGAGGAGAACACTTGAACTCGGCCGTGTTTGTTGTGTTGGTTCCTGGTGGACTATTCGTCATGCAAATATAGGATTTATCTGCGGTTAAAACAGACCGTCCATGAATGCAGTTTCTTCGGTAAGCCAACCCTGCGTACTTTATGTTATGTTACTGGTGTTTTTATTAAGCTAACGTTACTGAATGTTTAGAGTTGGATTAGCATTTGAGCAATCGTAGCTCCATCTGTGCTAACGATGCTATGCGTAGCATCCAAGAGTGTAAAACATTTAGTGGGATGCTACTGTATACCAGAAGGCTTCTGTGCGAGGTTGCTAAAATAAGGTCATCCTTGTACGTTAGATAGTTAGTTTGCTAGTTAGGTTACTGTATGCATTGTTAAGGTTCGTTTAAATTCGCTATGCTCTACTATAGCATAACATAGACTAGCTAACGTCAACGTATTGTTGAAGAGAGGCTTAGTGTATATTAAATCAACCTCACAATGAAATGTGTGTATCTTTAAAGTATGAACGTCACATTTCAAGATAACCGCCTATCCGACGAACGACCCAAACATTGTCGTTTTTAATATTATTACCAATGCCTCTTTTAATTGCATTATCCTCACACTTGAGAAAGAGCCTTATCGTGGCTGTAGAACGGAACATGTAACTTAATTCATGCATTTAAGGACGATGAATAGCGTAGTCAATGCTTTAGTGACAAGGAAATTATTTGTTTAAATATTAGATATGACGTTATCTGTGACTTCAGTGTGTGTTTTGTTTCATATGCCATATTCATATGTATCACACACGTTAACAGTTACATATTATTTTAATAATACATTTATTTCAATGTTGATAAATTTAGAACGCGGTTTATTCATAATCTGATTATCTTTGTAGTACACTGTTGGATTTATAGTATACATCATTATATTTATAGCCCCTGAACAAACAAACACACCTCTTTCTTAAATAACACACTTGCTCTGCAATAATATGTTTTTTTTATATGTCTGTTAGGAAAGGACATGCCTGAGAGACAGGACTGCTTCACCATTTTCTCTTTCTCTGAGGGTCCAGAAGAATATCCAAGAGGGAAAGGAGAAGCTGATGAGATATAAGAGCAGTAGGCCTACAGGACATTCACTAAGAGACACTTAGGCCCTTTC